AGCAGGAAGAATTTCTGCCAAAATCTGTATCTTATGAAAAATGAATGCCATTCCTAGCTATTCTGGCTGGGAAGGCAATTCAGACAGGGGCTCCCATACTACCAGTTCCAAGAGCACTTTTCTTAGGTAGACCTGAAAGCACCTTCTCTCCATTTTAGGGCTGCTCCAAGACTTCTGCTGCTTTTATGCAAACCATCTCTGGTGGATATCTCCAGAGTTGCTCTTCAGAGCTCTGTATTTGCAAAACCGATCAGAACCTCACGCTGCTGCTGCTGCTATCAAGTGTGAAACACAGAGCAACCGCAGAAATCTGAGAGTAGCTACTTAGTGTAGGAGAAGGGCCCAAAACCTGAGTGCTTACAGAGGGTTAGGGCTGCAGAGATCCTCATACAGATGACTACAGACTTCACAACATTGATTCTACAGAGATGGATACTGGAGATGGACAGTACCATCCATGGACAGCATCCTAGGTGAAATTTGGCACTCACACTACGCAACACCTGCATGTGTGGTGATGGAGTCTCTTCCCTGGTCTCTAATGGGTGCATCCTTATCATTTTTGCATCAGCCTCTGAGTAGGTCTGAGGCTGTGGGTAATAGGAGTCTGATACATTTCTGGCCTCTGGGTAAAGGTCTTGTCTTCCATTTCACACACAGCAAAGCATCTAACACTCCTCAAGTTTTAAGAATCCTCGCAGTTTTGTCACACTTTGTTCCCTCTGCCCTTGCAGGACTTTGTGCCACTTCTATTCCATTCCCACTTGAGAGTCCCCTAAAAAATCACTGACCTGAACGAACTGTGGAGCAGCCATTGCCTTTTCTTCTCCCCCAAGAGCATGGGATGATCTGGAGCAAAATGTGGGTGTTATCTTGTAGCCTGTCAAGGGAAGAAAAGCAATTTTGGGAGCTTTCAGAAAGGGCTTGAGTCCAGGCCACACCCAGCTTCCAACCAGACTTTTCCCCTGCAGAGATGTTCTAGACCACTGATTCTCAACCATTTCAGACTTGGGATACCCCTTGGAAAATGCCATCTCTTTGTTTTTACTTTTTTATTTTTGCCTACAGAAAAATAATAGAGCAGGTTTTTTTCTGTTGCAAACACCTCAGACCATAATTGTGGATTTCTGCTTGAAATCTCTGGGTCTAATCTTGTGAATCACGTTTCTAAACCTAACAGTGCTAACACTGTGTGGCACCCCATGGCACCCTTGAAAGGATCTTAAGGCATCCAGGGTGCTTTGACACCCCGATTGAGAATCACTGGGCTGCAACTCTCTAAATGCTTGGTCACTTTCTTACTGCACACGTGTCCCCTCCCATCAGGTTTAACCCACTGAGATTTTTAATTCACAATGCAAGTATTAGAGAGAAAACATAACATTTGCTATCAGAGACTAGTGTCACACTGAAATTTAAAAAAATAATAATAACTTCCATATAGAGACAAAGATAATGGAGAGCTTTGTCCTTTTGTGCTCTCCTGGGGCCTGTGGGCAGCCCTGACACAATCATTCTTCCCAAAAGTAAAATGCAACTACTGTCACCACCACACAGTTTTCTTATTTTTCCTCCTTGAACACAAAAATTATTCAGGGATCTCTTCCTGTCACTGCTGGAATGAGGGAAACCACTTCCCTCCGTCCCTGCAGCTCAGCAGCTCTCTCATACCCTCACTGAAGAGGAGAATGTTAAATGCTGGAAGTTAAAATCTGCTTGTTGAAGTGCTTGGGCATAATCGCTATGAGAACAGATCAACTTTATAAAACCTTTCAACTTTCTTAAAATAAAGTTTATAAAAAAGACTAAAAGGTCACAAACCACAGCAGTGACCCCTGCCCCTGCTTTTTATAACTCACCATTAAAAATATCAGCTATGAAGCCTTACAGGCTTCTATAAAATAAAGATCTATAGCAGGGGTAGGTAACATTCAGTGTGGGGGCCAGTGGAGCATGCAAAGGCATCTGCTTGGCACGTGCACCTCGGGGCAGACAGTAGGGAAGGGGCTGAGGTTGCACTGCCACAATAAGGATCGGGCCCCTCGTGGCTCCCCAACCGTCCACCCCTGCCACACCAACATCTTACAAGCCGAGAGCGCGGGTGTTTTTGTCACTCTGTCCAAAAACATTGCCGACCCCTGCTTTATAGTCATCTGGATTAAACTGCCCATAGCAGCATTTGGCTAATGCTGAGCATCTGATGCAGCTCTATCACCCCTTTCTGTTCCTATTTAATTACATTAACTCTGTGATGATACAGGGGATGGACTGCTCACAGGACAGCGGTTCCTGAAGGACAGTGAGGTTTTTACTTTCCAGATGAATGTTTCCAGAAGACCAAGGCATGCGTGTGTTAGACAGACCATGTCTACGGAAATACAGCCATGTTGGAAGCCCAAGTATTCCTCCAAAATCTGAATGCTCTGGTGGAAGTGCTGACTCGGATTACTCAAAGCCTTGATTTTGCCAAGAAACCCATTTGGGGCATTTCAGGGAGGCTGTCCTGCTTACAGGGAAGAGGGTTTTACTTGGAAGAGATCCCACACAGCTACGTGCAATGCAGCTCCTTTTAGAGATGACACATCTGACAAACACTCCTCTCGTGAATCTGCCAGCAGTAAAACCCCTTGCCCATGACTGCAAAACCTGAAGGGCCCCGGGCCTGGTGCTGGGGGAGGCTGACCATGGGGACAGATTGTTACAATGCAGCAACCTCTGTTACCTCCTCACCTGCAGGAAGGGATGAAATCCATATTTCATACTGCCTCTCCTGCATTTTTTCACCCTTGCCCCCCTGCCAACTCTGCACCCACACAGACATAAGGGACATCCCACCAGGACCCCTTTTCCCACCCTTATTCATGTGCATTTCCACTTTCTACTTCGGCAGATCCTAACTGGAGCTGAGGGCAAAAGCTTCACTGCTCTTAACATAGCTTCAGCCCCTCCTGCATTTATTTTCCTTAACCCAAAGGCTGCAACCAGGGCCATGTATACAGAGTCCCTGTCCTACCCATCCCCAATGCCTTCCCGGAGATCCTTCTCTATTACCTGACTGCCCTAGAGCCAAAGCAGAAAAGTCCCCCCCAGGGCTGGACACAGAGAGGCTGTCATTAAAGTCTCTCCCCAGCACAAACCCTGCTGGGGGAGCAGCAGCAGGTCAACCCAGACTCCAGAACATAACAGAGAAAGCAGCTACAGGATCCATGTGACTCGGAAGTTCAGTTTAAGGGAGAAGGAAAAAAAAGAGAGCTGCTTCCTCTCTGAATGCAGCCGACAGAGCCCTCTGATGGTAGCAGCTAACTAAAGTCATAAGCCAGGCACAGAACTGGTCTCGGTCTGCACCCAGGTATTGCACAGATTTTGTTCTGATGTAGATGTGCCTAAATGGGAAGTGAAACCCAATGAACTAAAGGTGTGAATTTGGAATACACAATTTAAAATGCATTTAATGGGGATAGCATATGGATACTGTCATTTAGAAGGATGCTTTCAGTAGCTTTCTGTGGACACAATCTGTCTGTTTCCAGATAGAACTTGTCTACAGCAGGAAGTTTTTCAGTGATCGAAGGGCCAGAAGGGATCATTGCAATTACTTGCTCTGAGGTTGCGCCTGCATGAGGCACTAACTGCTCACTTACCTAATTCTACTGCACAGTAGGCTGCAGGGCAAAACCTGTGCTAGAAAGCTACTGAGCAGTAGTATTAATAGTAATGTCACTAAAAAAGCTGTGCAGCGGTGCTATTGCACAGTAGCACCAGTTACTTCGCATTGATTTAGTATTTGGTTATGCAAGTACTAAGCTTAAGGTGCAGGAATGACGGCGCATTAATGAACATCTACATGCGCCCTGATCTTCTGAATCACACAGATCAGAAGACTTTGCTGGCTTAGACCCGTTTGAAATGGAAGATATCTTTCAGGAAAGCATGCAACTTTGATTTTACAATTGCCAGTAATGGAGAATCAACCACAACCAATAATTAATTTTTGTGGTCTAAATTTTTCATCTTACTACTAGTCTAAATGTCTCTAGTTTCACCTTGAAACCACAGATGTTCATTTTCATTGATCTGTTACTGAAAACTCTTTTCAAAATTATTTTTCTCATAAAGATAATCTCCTCTCCCCTTCACGTTTACTTGATAAGCTAATCAGAGCAAATGCCTGACATTTTTTACATCAAGCTCTATTTTCCAGTACTTCCAGTCTGGTGAAGTGAACTTGGATTCACACAAGCTTGCATGAGAGCTCTCTATGTATTTTCTTTTTGGTTAGTACATAAAGGTGTATATCTACCCTGTCTTCTGATATATTAGTTATGCCTGTGGCTCATTCCTGACCCCCCACCAAGTGTCAACAGCTTTCTTGAAGTGTGGACACCAGAGTCTAGATGCAGGACTCCAGCAGTGCTTGCACCAGTGAAAAATGCAAACATAAACCTCCCTACTTGTATTTGAGCTTCCCAGATGTATCCAAAGCTCAGGTTATGCCTTTTGGCCAAAGTATCACAGGGGGAACCAATAATCAGCTGATTATCCAGCAGGACCTCCAACTGTTTTGCCAAATCATTGCTTCCCTGGAATGACTCCCTGGTCCTGTAAGACCTGTCTGCACTGTTTGTTCCCAGGTGAATGACTTTATTTTGGCTTATTTAAAATGCATATTGTTTGCTCACTCAGTGACCATTTATCTTATTAACTACTTCCCCCAAACTTTGTGTCTTCTTCAAACCTCCTCAGTCTTGATTAGTTATTTTCTTCTGGGTGATTAATAACATAGTTCAGTCACTCAGGGCCAAAAAATAATTGCTACAGGTTCTGCCTGGATGCACAGCTCCTCTGATGATTCCTCATTCTCAAGTACTTATTGAAATGTGTCAGTTAGCCAATTTAACCCTTTAGTGGGTGCCATATATTGATTTGGTTGCAGAAACAGGTAGTCTGTTAATGTAAAGCTA